GCATCATGAAATCAGTATCTCTATTTTTCATGAGCTGCACTGATTCATGTGCAGCGTTCTTAAAGATTTGAAGCGTGTGTCTAAAATGTGTCATTAAGTGTGATATGTATCAATAATATTCCCTTTATTGCAATTAATGCATCTTTCATTTTGGTTATGGAAACCCCCTTAAAATACTTGTCAATATAATATTAATATTAATATGGAAATGCATGTTACTCTATAAGTCCTTTAATGTTGGACCCTGTCTTTTCTTTTTAATGTAGTAACACTTATTTTGTTGAAGTGCTCTGTTACTGGTGACATCTATTTCACTTCTGTCCTTCCTGGTTGAGGGATTTTTTTGTTGAAGGGTTGTTGTTTGTCCCCCTCACTTGAGGGTTGAGGGCAGAGGATGTCGCATCTTGTTAAGCCATGTGAGACAAATTGTGATTTGGTACTTTAACAAATATATAAAATCTGAAATTCAATCCAGGCCGCTTAAAAATGTCCTTATTTGATCAGTTTAATACTTGTAATGATTTTTTCTATTTTTATGTTGAATTGCAAATATATCAATCTGATTTTAAACAGAAATCCATAACAGAAAATACAAAACATTTTAATAGGGCGCTGTATCTGTGATTGAAGCAGCATTCTGCCTCCACACAGATTCATGTCATGGATGAAAGTTTGTTCGTTAAAGGTCAAACAGGGAGTTTGATTCCTGTAAATCTAATCCATCCCAAACATGAGTAATACCAATATTTTCACATGGACGGGGGTGGAATCTGCGAAGCCCCAAACAAAGAGGATGTAAAATGTGTCAGCACATGCTAACGTGTGTTCATGTGTGTTAACGTTAGCTTAGCTACACAACTGCTTAAGCAAAGATTATCACAGAGATGAATTAAATCAGATCAAACTCCCTCACTATCCCACAAAGCCTCTATCACACTGTCTTTACACATCTAAACCAGAGAAATACAGAGAATACTGAAGCTCTTAGTTATTAGACTATCAAAATATTCAATACGGAATTTGTAATTCTCCATCATATTTTTACATCCTGCACAAGTTTCTTTAAAAAGACACAGAACAAATACGTGCAAAAAATAAAAACAGAATGTGAAGAAGAATGTGGGAGACTTCTGAGCAGCGCCGAGCGTTTGGCCTCCGTGAGCCTCTGAGAGAAAAACCTCCTAATTTGCTACTTCCACTCGGACCTTTGCTTTTCTTTGGGGCTGCAACTGCTCATTTCTTTCATTGAAATCAGCCAGAGTCGGGGTGGTTTACAATTGACTCAACGAGTTTGGCGTGACCTTTTCTCCTTGCTGCAAATGGGTACTCATTGAATCTGAAGGGGAGAGGTGGGGTGCACGGAGGTGGTGGTGGGGTGAGAGACTGGGAGGGAGGGTGGGTTGCGTTGGCTGGGGGCCGATGGGGGGGATCGGGTGGAAATCACAGCAGTGGAAATGGCAGTGTGGTGAAAGAGGGGCCTGATTGCATTGGGACAGCGTGCGAGAGGGAGCAGCATGCTCAGCCCAATCAGAGCCACATAAGGGAAAGAGTGCTCTTATCAGCTAGTAATGGCCCACTTGACAATCACACAGGCACAAAACTGCTCTATTTAACGTTGATTGCAAAAACTGTCGCCCCACCACCACCTCCCCTTCCCCACCTCAGAACTGCATGACTCCACCCGAGATCTCCCCGCCACCTCCCAGCTTACAGCCAAGACCCTTTCCTGAATGGAATTTATAATCAGCCTTCATCTATTTCTATGCTAATTGTTATTTTAAGACTTTCATTGTGTGTTAAGCGTTCAGTCTGCCTTGATTACTGTGTTTATCAAAGACATATCTTCCTCAGCTCAGCAGCTTTGACAGGAGATGGATGTTTGAACAGGTATCTCTGTGTTTCATCCATCTGCCTGTTCATTGTAGTTCACGTCCGCTTTTTAATGTCGGACACCTGCTGCAGGTTTCAGGTTTTATTTATTAGAATATTAACACGGCAGGAAAAAAGAACAGTATTCAAGTTTTTGGCTTTGAATCTTGAAATATGTCAAAGCTACAGAGCTTCTCATAATCAACAAAAAAGAAACTATTACCATATACAACAGTATATCATAGTAATCATCATCATCGTCATAATAATGATAGACTTTAAAATAATTCACATATTTTTGAATCAGAAAGAGCAGAGATCAATAATATAGTGCCAAAAATGTGCACATTTAAAGGTTTTTAATGAAACTCCACAGCCCTAATTATTAATGAAGCGCACTGATAATAGTTATTTCAGCTTCAGTCTCTCCCTTAATGAAATGGCCTAAAGCATAATTTTCAATAGGATTTTAAAATGTCCTGGCACTATTAACATTTACAACACAAATTAAAAAACCACAGTGTGGTGTGAGTTAGTAGAGTCAACCTGCTGTTATGCTGCTTTTTCCCATGAATTATTCAATCATTTATCACACTGACAGTGGTAGTGAGGATATATTATGATAGTAGTTTGCTCCTGAAGATATTTTTTTTATTCCATGTATTTTATACTTGACCTATGTTACTTTATTAGTACGACAGTAATATTGACTTAGACAGTTTTTTAACTTATGTCCAGGAGGACAATTAATTAACATTGGCATTCTCAGCATTACTACTAGAACATGTACAAATAAATAGATACAGATATTGGAAAAAATTAATTTCTTTTCTTCTGTCTTATCATCCCTCCTTCAACTTCCCCCTTTTCATTACCTTTCTTCAGGGTTGTTCAGCCGTGTTGCCTCAAACATCCACAGGTGTGTGTTGGCGTCCTGGTGTGAGACAGATGGACAGAGCGTGCTGCAGAGTGGGTGAGTCCACCATCCAAAACACAAAGAGAACAAAGACATGATAGAATCAATAAAGGTCTCTTACTTTATCTAATAAAATATTGTATATTTGTTTGTATTTTCAGATTTGTGCTGTAAAAAAATGTTTTTCAGTTTGAATCTCACTTCATTCGTTCAGAGTGAACTGCAGCTCTTGTGTTTTGAGTGAAACATCTTCTAAATTGATTTCAGAGGATGTGTTCAGTAACTGATTGTCATCACTTAAAAGATAAATTCCTAAAACATGACAAAAAAAAGCCTCAAGCTGAAAACTGGTTTGTTTTCTTTCTTTCTTTTTAAACAAATGCATAAATCGATCAAAATGTTGCACTCAAATACTCAATTTAGTTGATAGTTGCACTTTTTATTATTTATATTTTATGCTCTCTAATTAAAAGTTTTTAGGAGAGATGTATTTGTGATGTAATCTTTATTGTGCAGACATTTATGTTGTACAAACATTGTCCACTTTGGAGATCAGTAATAAATCTCATTTGTATTTATGCAAACGGTCGGTAAATCCCAGTCTGGCGCCCAAAACAATAATGTCAATATTAGACGTTACATTCAAACCCTGGGTTCAATATTATCTTACAACATTGTGTTAAAGTCTTTAAAAAGACACTGACTTCCCATCAGGTATATGAATGAATATATTATGCTTATCACTTAGCATTGCACAATATGTAACATTTGAAAGTGATTATAAGTTTCCCCATTTGTATTTCTGTCTCTCAAGACCAAACCTTGTCCTCTACATGTTTTTATCCTCAGTTAGAAAAACGCTGTCTCATGTTGAGAGAGAAACATCGCTCCCCACTGGTCAACACTGATACAGGAAAAGACACAGTGGTTCTGAGAATGAGTCAAGATAATGGATTAAAATTCAAAGGTCATGATTGAGCTTCAACACAGTATCAAAGCAACGAGACACTGGAAGATAACCAGCTGTCTGCATGACCACCACACATTATATGCATCACAAATATACAACACAATCATATTATGGTGTTAACATGGTTCCAGGTAGTTTGATATAAGAGGTGGATTGTTAATTGTCCGTGATAGAAAATGTAAAAACAAATGTACAGGCAAAAACAATGTGGTTTTATTGTTGCCCACAAGGGAGCAGCAGAGGACCTTGCGGCCTGGACTGAAACTGTAAATGTGTATTGTGAGGAGGAGGAGGAGGAGGAGGAGGCACAGACTGAACAGGGAGGAAGCTGAGAGTAAAACCTCTTCATCACTGATACTCTGGTTGTACCGGATGAACCAAGACGAACGTGTTTTATATATTCATAAAATCAGTCGAGAGATCAGTGATGTGATTATATCCTGAGAGGGTAAACATATACTGTTGAGAGTATAGACAATGTTCCCAGCAAATGTAATCAATATATATATATATATATAAAATATAATATATATGAAAACTTTTAGCCTCCAGGTCACAAACAATGAGAATTTACAGTCAATCGAAGTATCATGTATCTTGTGTTCATTATTCTAAACTTTTGATGTTAATAATGCATGTACATATACTTTGAAAGGGAGAAGTGTTATTTAAAATGCTACGGTCTAATTCTAAAGAGCAGAGTAATGAAACTTGTAAGTACATGTTCCCTGTTTACCTGTAAACAGTGGGAGGTAATGAAAATGGTAAGTGGATGTTTGGACCACCACTGGATTCAATCTAAACTGAGTACTTACTACTGCTACAGTGCTAATCAGGCAGGAATGTTACTGAAAATATATTCAACTACTCACCAACTACTTTTATTCAAGGGAGATTTTAAATGCAACTCTTGATCTGTTGTAGTATTTCTACGTTATTATAGTTTTAACACAAGTAAATCATCTGAACACTGTTTCTACCACTGCAGGTTGGAAATAAAACATAATTGTAAATTAATGATGAATACTTTTCTTAGGACGAGAGAGACAGAGATACTGTGTGTGTGTGTGTGTGTGTGTGTGTGTGTGTGTGTGTGTAAATGGAAACCAGCCTCATTGGCAGCATAGTCACGTGGTCTCCCATAGCAACCGGCGGGTGTCATCAGCTCCTGTGTTCAGCTTCATGTGCTGCTTCTCTCTCTAACTTCACTCTCCTCCACACTTCTTCACCTCCGCCTAACTTCACACCTTCACACCTTCATTCATTCACACACTCACACCTGACACAGGTTTGACAGAGAGCTGGAGACCATGAGCCACCTCAGCCCGGGGTACGTACTCTTCACACGTCCGTGTTATTCTACGTGACTTTGAATGATTCCGATCAAACTTCATGAGAACTTGATGTGTTTATTGAGTCCGTGTGGCTGCTGTGTCTTTACTTGTATCTCACAGTAACTCTCTGTGTTTTACTTCATCTCGACTCATATTAGAACCAGCAAGTTAACTTAGAGAAACAGTCTTATGTTACTACTTGTATTGACTGTAACCCGGTGCTGATGCACAAAGTTAAGCTAGCTAGTTCCTTTAACGTGGTGTGAAAAGTTCATCCAGCTGTTTCAGAGTTGTAGTGACAGTGTTGGGTCAGTGTGGAAGTACAGAGAACATGTGAATCAGTAACTAAACACAGTTGACTCTGTGTTCAGGCTCAACTGGCTGAGCTGTGACAACCCAATTAACTGTGCATGACTGATAACGATCAACTGTTAAAGGTGCAGTGTGTAGAATTTAGTGATATCTAGTGTTGAAATCACATGTTGCAGCTGAACACCCCTCACCGCCCCCTTCACTTTAAAACATGAAAAAGAACCTGTGGTAGCTTCAGTTCTCATAAAAACTCAAAAGGTGTTTAGTTTGTCCAGTCTGGACTAATGTAAAAAACATGGCGGCCTCCGTAGAGAGGACCCCCTCGATGTAAATATAAAGTATTTAAATATAAAGGGCCTTTTCTGGGGTAAAGGAAACTACAATTCATACAATTTAGATGAAATGAACTGGTGAAAACATCATGGGGATTATTCTACATTCAATTTCTTCCAATAGTTCCCTTTCACCTAAATCTGAGACACTGGACCTTTAAAGTGAATCAGCTCTCCTCACCTGTCTTTATGTTTTCAGACTGTTGCACTAATGGGCTGTTTAGGGATTTCTTTTGGAAAATACCAATAGATGTTTTTAAATGAACTCCATCAAACACTTCACACTTTGTGATTCATGTCTAAAAAGGAAATGCGTTGACTGTGATTTCATGAGAAGAACTGTGGCTCCATCGGGAATCATTTTGGAAAACAGGGTTTTGCTGTGAAAAACAAATGACACTGAACTGATAAGAACGAGCAGAAATAAAGATGTGATGACAACATTTTTGGTCAAAGAGATATTTAAATCCTTTACTTAAGTGCCAATGTAAATCTACTGCGTTCCCATGTGAAGGAGTGTAGCTACGTACATTAACTCATGTCCTGTGTACAGTTTTAAGGTGTTTGAGTTTTTCCATGTAATTCTACTTGGTGAACCGGCGTCTTCATACTCTATATATGTGTTTTCTCTTTATTTAAAGTAATTTATAACAAAGTGTATGGTTGAACTGTAAAATATCAAGCCTCCATTACATTTCTTTGTCATAAAGGGTTGATAACGATATCTTAATGCCATTTTTGAATTTTATTGAATATTTGAAACAGACATTTTTTTAACTCCCTAATATAGGAATCGGCCCCCAGACATTAGAGACACTAAAACACATGCGATCAGCAGGTTATATTTCTGTGCCACTGGATCAGAGAAAGCCATGTATAAAATGATGACTGATAGTGAAACATAACTCCACCGTACATGCAGCCAAAGATGAGAAGCACCACAGACAACTTAGACAATCACACAAAGAGGAGGCAGACAGGGTTAAGTGTGCCGTCCCCTCTCACTCCGGTGTGTAATCAGACACTGGTAACAGACCCTACAGTTGGAGGATCCCCTTGTCTCGTACAGAAATGTTGGAGGAAATCAAATCTGTGTTGGAAAAAAAAGCTGCTTTCAGACGGGCTAGGCTGTGGAAGGCTGATGACTCATTCATGTGGACAACAAACAACTGCCAATAAACAAATGTGGTGTTGGGTCCCACTGAAGCATTTGATTAAGATTCTTGTTTTTCTGTTTGGTGTAATCAAGGACTCTGGCTAAGACAAAGTTTAAAGTCTGGATGTCCTGTGTGAAGTGAGGTCTTGTTTAGTGACAAAATGTGTTCAGTTTCCATTAGTTAATTGCCTCTGTGTTTTTATGGATCGTGTTTCTGCAGACTGATTTCAGCCTACAACAGTCTGACCGACAAACACCTCGCTGGATACTTCAGCAACACTCGCATCAGAAGACACTTGCAGAGAGCAGGACTGGTATGTGAAGTTAAAATATTGACAAAGCACTGTATGAATACTGACATTTTAACTTATAGCATGTTCAGAATATAGTTAATAGAATAATTACTATTTTATATAGCAACCTACTAATGATCTTTATTTAATATTGGCTATAAGTTGGCACTGTCATGGACATTTTATTTATCTGATCCTATGATGCAGTCATGCGCAAAATATTAACTGTTGGTGACGTTTGAAACATTGTTATCACTCGTCAGTGACTCGTATTGATTGAGCAGTACTGATACTTGTTTGTTTTCAGATCACCAGGAGTGGCCGAATCGTTCCAGACAAAGAGTACAGACACAAGGTGATCCAGAGAACCCACCAGAGACATGTTCGTGAATGTCTCGCACAGGCCATTTTCCACAAGGTGCTGGAGATGGAGGTGAGGTGAACACAGTGTACCCGGAACAAAAACTCCTCTGTACGTTAATCAGTGCTTCTTCTTGCATAATAATCAGTGCCAATTTGTTCTGTGCCCCTCCAATGCAGCGTCTCCATCAAATCGAGATCAAAAGGAAACTGGAGGAGTTTGCAAGTAGGGATCGAGTGCACAAGATCAAGGTACATCATTTCCATCTAAACACTGCTTTGTCAGTGGTTAATGACCCTTAAATGATGCAACACAAAGCCTGTTCATAACGTCAGCCTTTGTTAGTAAGAGTTTGTTTGCACATAGTTGATCTTTAAAAAAAAAAACAAATTTCAGTGTCTCTAAGGATACAGAGGATCCAGTCTGTACAAGTCATCTGTTATGAAAGTAAAATGATAAATAAAAGTTTAATAAGTCATTTGAACCAAATATATCTTGATTTGGAACAAATAAATGGTCTTGCTTGTAAGGTTGAGCGCTCCAGAAGGTATGAAGACGACATCATTCCTGTCCTGTCTCCACACCCACCCACGGGTGTCAGGGGTTTCCGAAAGCAGCACTCCGGACCCGAGGGCGAGCACTCCGAGTCCTCCGAGTCTGTGAGTCCAAAAATATGCCCTGGTGCCACTTGTTCCCTTTCACCTTAATCTTACACCGTGGATCTTTAAGTTAAAATCTGACACAGTTGATGGGTGAGGTATCACACATTTTAAACATATTGGGAAATGTGCTTATTTACCTGAAGAGAAATACATTAGTCTATTGACAGATGATTTCATATCTGCACTGTAAAGCTATAGCCAGCAGCTACTTAGCTTAGCTTAGCGTAGAGACAGGCAATAAGTAGGGACAGTTATTAGCTTTGTCCAAGGGAAACAAAATCCATCACCTATCAACACGTTTGGATCATTAGAAAATGTTCTGGACTTTTTCTACATCTTGACTTTCTCAGGTTTACGGTGGTTGCCAGGCTACCACTTACTAAGCTAACTGTCTGTACAGATTTGAGAGAGGGATCAGTCTGCTCATTTAACTCACAGAAAGAAAGTGGATCAGTGTATTTCTTTATCAACTGAGATCATGATGTTTGTCTGACAGAGAGAATTACATCTGTAGCCAAACATCCACATTCCCATCACTAGTCAAAAAATAAAGATCAGTCCGTCAAGACGGAGACGTTCTTTCAGGTGATGAACGTCTCTGTGATGTAAATCGTTATCGGTGCACGCTGACAGTTGTCATGTTTACACTGACACTTGAGACTGAAGAGCTGTCTCAGCGGCTGTTTGCTCTGTGGGCAGAGTGTTTAAAGTGAAGTAGAGGGATTAGATTCATGTTTTTGTTGAAACATAGAAAATCACTGAGCTTGATGCCAGAATAAATAGAGCCGGTAATCCTCCATCTCTGTTTACTCTGTTAGATCTCTCTCCTCTTCTCAAGTCTCCTGCTCGGCGGATGAATGAGCTCAAGCTAATGACACTCCAGCTTGTTTTGACTATAAGTGAAAGTTTTTAATCCAATGTGCAATAAGACATTTTATGACTAGTGGGCAAGAAGAACAAAAACTGTGGGTGGTTTTAGCAATTTCTAAGAAAAATACTTTATAATGACGTGACTGAAGGAAAGAACAGATTCAGTTAAATTAAAACATCCCAACATTCTGAGTCTCACACTAATTAATTGTTGCGTTCATACACTGATGTGCAAACAGTGAAGCAGAAGTTGACCATTAAGCCACAAAGGAAAATGCTGACGTCGAGGTCTCCATGGTGATACTCAGACAGTGTTTTTAATTAGCAGAATGCTGATAGCATTTTTTTTTGTATCGTAGCTGGGATCGTCTCGACCCAACACGGCTCCAGGGAAGATGCAGAGGCCGGTGCGTCTGAAGCCGATCCACAGTAACGGCACCACGGCTTCACTGAGACGCAGCTCCCCTTACAGACTCCAAGAGTCCTCCAATGAGAACGAGCAGCCGTTCAACTGCACTGTGAGACTGTGACGCATACGACATTCATTAATTCACCCACCTGCTTGTATAGAGGGTGTGCAGGACACTTCTATATTGTTTGGATACTTTAATTAAAAACTCTTTATAGTTTCATACTGCATATTAGACTGTTTGGCTACATGCTCAGAAATGTGTTTTGTTTAAATCTAACTGTATAAAAGTTAACCCTTCCCTGTTTCCACATCACACATCTATAGTTTGAATAACCACCCATCAGCTCTGAGTAGATAAATACCTCCCCAACAAATTCACAGTCACTATCATTACCCTGCTGCCATAGCAACAACAGTCTTTTGACTAAAGTGACCTCATTAACTTCCCTCCCAGATGAACAAGGAGTCGCGGAGACGTTTGACTACAATGGAGACCTCCAATGACATCTCGCCCTACCGCCTTCCAGTCATCAATAACTTTGTTGTTACCCCAGTGCCTCCAGCCACAAAGAGGAAAGAGAGGGGAGTGAAGGTCACTCCCAGTGGCGGCACGCTCAGAGGCCGCAGACTGCGCCCCACCACCGCCACCGGTGGTGCTAACATCAGTGAGGTCTTTATCTCTCTTTTTGTTTTTACCAGAAACAAAACTCACACTTACGTGGTAGCTTCATTGGAAAGGCAATTCAAATTTCCAGGAGATGCATTGATGTTAACTAAGAAGGAGGAGGTTATACTGTGTCTTTGTGTGTGTCTGATAAATGTGTAATCTCTGGTTAGTATCAGTTTAATAACTCTATGCATAACATTTTTCTGATCTAAATGTACTTATTAACTAATGAACGTATGAATTACACATTGTCAACTGAGCTCCTTTTTGCTATACTGTAAGCAATCAGAACACAATGGAACAGGAAAATAATGCACTGATATAAGAATAATTTCCATTACATTTATCACTGCAAATAATCAGTCCATTTCATAAATCAATCAATTATGTCTTTTTCTAAATTGATATTAAACTCTCCAGGACCCCCCCATGCTGAGGAGCTCTGTGCACCAGAGCAGGGTGTGTGTGAACATGGTGTATTTTGGCAAAACAGTGCATCTCTCCCACGACCTGACCGACATGAGGGACGATGTGAAAGTGTTTCAGCAGCACTGCGGAGGAGAGAACCTGTCTGTGTATAAAGGCAAGCTCCGCGAGGGAGGTCAGTGTGACGATCTGAGATAATGTTTGTCTTAATATGTGTGTGTACGTTTAGATAAACCATTGGTGGGGATCTGCAGACATGCACCATCTACATCCTTTATCTTTTCCCTCAGAGTCCTTCCAGTTCATTTCGAGGCGACACAGAGGCTTCCCCTTCAGTTTGACCTTCTTCCTGAACGGGCTGCAGGTGGAGCGGCTGAGCTCCTGCTGCGAGTTCAAACACAGGAAAGGCTCCAGACTTGGTGGCAGGCACGGGCACTTCGGCTTCTTCAGCGTAGAGGGGGCCTCACCCTGCTACAAGTAAGGTCTTCTTACTTGTAGCAGCCTTACAACTTTACTGTTTCCTGACGTGGTGGAGACCAAAACTGAGCTAAAAAGAATGAATGTTGTTGATCAGATGGTCACAAACGGGTGTCCAATTAAAAATCAATGTTGCTCGGTCTCTGCTTCATTAGCTCACAACTTTTATTTCATGAATAAATCCACATGTCGGAATATATATAGTTTTATAGAGGTGTTTATCTTCTCAGCAGGAATTAGGAATTATTCTTTTAAACTGAGCTAACTGTTTATGGAATTTTCTTTAGGTGCATCATAGCGATGGGATTGGACAAAAAGCCCACACCACCACCAAAGAGGGTGAAAGAGGAGGGAGGAAGAGAGGAGTCGGTCATCAGCCCAAAGGATGCGCCTGAGATGGAAACAGAAATCATGGGAGAGGATATTAGTCAGCCACAGAACGTGGAGTCTCGAGTCAAAGAGGCACATGCAACTGTGCAGAGCAGAGTCAGAGATGGTATACAACAACTGTATCAACTGAAATCTAAAAAACAGACTTTTCTTCACCATCTATGTCAATAAACGTTCCTTGTCTTAACTCAGATTATGAAGAAGATTTTGAGGCAGATGATGAGGGCCCTGTGGAAGAGGCGAATGAAAAGAAATCCCCCTCTCCATCCAGTGACACTGAGACGCAGGTTAAAGAGAGAGATGCATCGGAGACTGAAGACGATGAGAAGGATGGTGGGTGTTGTGGCATTACACCCTCTGCACATATGTTATTCATTTGAAATATGCTTTTAATACAGTAAAAATAATTTGTTGTGCACTCAAAGGTATTCACATACTAATATCTTCTGATCAAATCTAATCGATTAATCTAAATAGATCAAATCCCTGTAAAAGATTTAAAATATTAACTATTAAAAAACATTTCTAAATCTTTAGAAAGGTTTAATGATGTATTTTCTTTCTTATTGAGGAATTCATATTCATTTATACTGGAAGTGTGGAGAATGATTATTTTAAAAAACGCTCTCTTTCTTGTACAGACGACATAAAGTCTCGTTCAGGCTCCAGCTGTACAGGAAGCGACCAGGAGTCAAGTGATGATGAAGCCACAGAAGACCACAGAGAGAAAGCGGAGCAGACTGCAGTGGCTGACAAAGAAGAAACTGTTGCTCCACCAGACGAGAAAGACGAACCATATCCTGAAGAAGCAGCTGCGACTGAGGCTGAGTCTGGTGCGGCTAAAGACCCTGACTTACAGGACAGTGTGGGGGACAGCACAGAGATAGACATCTCTGACACCAGCGTCCCCTCGGGGCAGGAGCTCAAACAGAGTGATGGCACATCGGGAGAAAAGGAGGAGGAGAAAACAGAGGATGAGGGCAAACAGGAGGAACAGGGGCCAGAGAGGGGTGAGTAAAAAAAACCAACAGGTAGATTTCATCTGAGTGAGGAATGGATCAGTCCGTCTCGTATGGAGGTTTTTCCACTATTATCACAACCAGGGCTGTAGTCAGTGCAATGGTTTATATGTCATTTAAGTAATTCAGTATGACAGCAAATTAATGATTATTGTCACAGGAGTACAGTACTGTGATATTTAAATTATAGTATGGATGATGTTCTTACTTTTTAATAGTGGAAAAATTGCACGTGTGACATTTTTTTTCATTCCTTATTTTTCATTTATTTTGTGTGTATTGATCTTTCATTTCTGGTCCACTTTTCAATGTCAAACATCAGTTTCATTCAAAGTGAGTTTTTAGTTTTGATATTTGCAAGAAATTCTCACATATTGATTCCATTTCTCAAAATATTTATGCAGTTTGCATTTTACTGCTGCACTATATGGTTTGGAATAAAATTAAAAGTGCCATGAAATAAATCTAAACAGCAGAAAACAAAGGGGAAGCCCTCAGGGGGTGAAAGTGCAATCAGAGAAGAAGGAGGAAGCTGCTGCTGATGTAAAAATAAACATATTCATAAAGTGCTCACACTTAAAATCGCAGTATTTCAAAAAGCACAAAACAGCAGCTGTGAAGAGCTGCTGAATATTCATGTAAAGACTCTGCACACAAACAAATACAAGCCGCTTCCTGCTTTCTATTTATTCATAAATGTCATGTAAACATTCAACATACACATGTTTAGAAAATGTATTATAATGAAATTATTGTGGATGGTCGTCCACATTCAAACTGTGCTCCTATATCAGTTTGCACATAACACCAAAGTTAAGTGATTTTCATTATGTCTTATTTGTACATTTAAAACCATTTTTATGTGTGCTTTGTGTTTCCATATTTTTTGTTGTGTACTGAATTGTGTGTTTTTTTAATTATCATTTTGCATGTTGTGTTGCTCCCTTGTTTGCCCTTTGAAAGATTAAAGAAAACGTTTTTTTGTTCATGGTTGTATGTGTCTTCATTGGCTCAGTTCTCTCATTGCATTTGCATCGTCTTATTCTTTTCAATATTTGGACCTCACTCGCCACCATGACTCAATTACAAAGGTTCATGTTTTTCCTGTGGAAATGTGAGTTCATTATCATTGCACGTGTTCTTATCTCTTGTCTTTCTCAAGCTAAATCTGTACAGGAGAAACTGGCGGAGGCAATACAGAAGGAGTCGCAGTGCAGCTCTGAGCCCGAACTGAGCGACACCAGCACAGAGGAGGAGGAGGAGGCCACTGGTAAAGACCTCGGTCAGAAGAAGAATGGTGCATAGTTTTTAAATTCATTTAAATTATTCTGTTATAGGAAAATACACAATTTTCTCTTTACAACGTCTCAATTGATTTTACAGATGTTCCAGAGCAGCAGCAGATTCTCGTAGAGGAGCTGAAATACGAAGAAAGTGTTGTTGAAGCAGAAGTTGTTCAAGATCAGGGGGAGACTTCTGAGCCAACAGAACAGGAGGAGGATGAGAGTGAAAAAGAGCTTAATGAGAACAGTGAGCTGTTCAAACTAGATGAAGATGAGAAGCGTGCATCAGAAGAAGAAGAAAAGGAGAAGTTGGAGGACACGGTTGCAGGTCTACATGCGGTGTCTGAAGGGAGCATGGTGGTAGAAAACACAGCTTCAGAACCTGAGGAGGATACAGGAGCTAAATGCAATGATTCTGAAGCTGCACAGAAAGATGTAGAGAGTGAGGAGAAAACTGCAGAAGCAGAGGAGGCTGACACGCAGTGCGACGAGATAGGGCAAGGTGCAAAAAGGAGCGAGGCGGATGAATCATCAGTATCAGAGCTGGATAAAAAATCTGATGAGGCAGTGGCATCAGATACTGCAGAAGAAGACGCGATGACAGTGAGTGAGACTATTGGGATGAAAGCGGAGCCCTCAGAGGAGCGAGAGGCCCTCAGCTGTGAAGAGGCACCTGTGAGTGACACAGAGGAGAGGCAGCAAGGAGACAGCACGGCAGCATCACAAACAGAAGTCACGACGGAGGATTCGAACAGCTCATTGGAGGGGAGCGCAGACACCACTGTGGAAAAAACTGCAGATATAAGTGAGGACAGCGTAAAGGACGAGGGCAGTAAAGATGACGTGAAAAAGGAAGAAGCAGAGGAAGTGAGTAAGGATGGGAATCAGCAAGGAGAAGGGTTGGGAGGAGAGCAGAGAGAAAAGTCTGTGGAAATAAGTGAAGAGGTAGACAAGGAAAAATCTGAGGAGGACTGTAAGGAAGCAGAAGGTGAAAATAGTGGAGAAAAGGAAGAGAATGAAAAAGATAAAAAAGAGGAAGAGGGCAAAGATGCAAGTAAGACAGAAGAGATGCTAGAAGATGAGGAATATGTTGTAGAAGATACTAAAAGTGACTCAGACCCTGAGAGACAGACAAATGAAGAACCTGCTGATGAAGGATGTGAAGTTGTCCATGAAGAGAAAGCAGATGAATCAGTAAAAGAGGAGGGTAGTGAAAGTGTTGAGAATACAAATGACGAGGAAGAATCTGTAGCAAAGGGAGCCGTGATTGATGAAACCAATGTAGTTGAAGAAATAAAAGAGACAAAGGCAGAGAGGGACGAAGAAAAGAGTGCAGAAGCAGAAAAAGAAGAGAGAAATGAGGAAAAACAGATTAAAGATGACAAAGAGAAAGCTGAAGAGGGAGAAGAAAATTCTGCAATTACCGAAGATCTTGAGAAAAATACAGATGACGAGAAGACATCTAGCAAGAATAGAGTTGAGTCAGAGGACGTCATTGAAGCAGCAGATGGAAATAAAATGACTGAAGACACGGTGGAGTCTGAAGATGCTAAGAAAGAAACTGAAGGAGCGAGTTCCAACAGTGAGAGGGGAGAAATCGATGGTGAAAATGGAGAGATTTCTACCGGAGTGGAAAGAAACAGTCATGATGGTGAGATAGAAGCTTCAAACGTGGAGGAAAATGATGAGAAAGCAGCCGAGCATGTCGAAGACGGAAAAATATTAGAGGAGGAACCGAGTGAAGGTGAAAGTACGGATGTAAAAGAAGCAGAGTCTGGAGACGATGCTGGAAAACATGATGGAGACGAGGTAGAGCAGGATCATGGAACAGATGCATCAGAAAGTGAAGCTCAGGAAAGAGGCGACGGTGACAAACGAGAGGAATCTGCTCAAAAAGATCCTGAACAAGAGATTGAAGAAAGAGAAGAAACGGAGATAACAGAGGAATCTAAACCAGATGACATGAATACTGACAGAGAGCAAGTAAAACAAGATGAAAATGGCAACAAACCTGACCTCAATAATGAAAACACAGATTCAGACTTGATCACAAATATCGATAGTAAGATCAACGAGGATCAGGCTCAATCCTCAGTACCCACAGATTACAGTTCAGGTTGTACAAGTCACAAATTAACTGCTGCTGTTGCCGATGGAGAAAACGGAGAAGACGCGGAGGAGGCGAGCAAGGCCTCAGAGGAAGGAGCCAGTGTGCTGCTCAAACCTCAAGCACAAAACGAGGAGGCTCCTAACGCAGAAGAGAGCATCGCAGTGGATAAAGAAGCTCCAGAGGCCCTGGCAGCAGAAGACAGCACAGATCTAGTCACAAACTGGGTAAACATGCATCAAATGTCTAAGTACTTCGAGACATTTGTCGAACCTTTAGAAGATTTGAGGGGAGAGACTTCACAAACTCAAGTGCGCAGTAAAGAAGAGGGGAAATCTACAGAGCTGCTGAGGGTAGAGACTCCACCTGAGAGGATGAAGATGAGTGAAAAGGAGGAAAATGAGCAAACACACAAAGTTGAAAGTGAAGGAAAAGTGGAAGCTGTAGAGTCAGAGCTCGAGAGCAAACCCTGTGAAGATGAACCTCACGAGAGCGACGCTATCAAAGATACGACCCAGGAGAAAGAGGAGACTGAGGTGGAGGAATTAAACCAGATGATACAGACTGAAGGAAATGATGAAGACTCTTTAAACGGACAAAGAAAAGGAAGCAAGAAATCTCCAGAGGAAGACAAGGATCAAAAGGGACCAACGCAGATGCAAAGTGATGTTTTCAAGACTGAAGTGGAAAGCATTGCTGGTACTCATCATTCCGTTGCCAGTCTCAAAGCTGAGAGTGTGACCGAGAAACAAAGTGTAGAGAAAACCTCTGGTTATGATCCAGAAAAACCAACAGAAACTGAAGAGACAAAATATCTCCAACCTGTGTCCAAATCAGACGAGGATAATGAGCGCCCAGCGAGTCCAGGTGGACCAAGAGATGCAGAGGAATCATGGGAGAAAACAGACGAGCAGAGTCGAGAAGTGACGGAAATAACTGATTTTACAACGTCCAAGTCTGACGATGGAAGCCAAGAGGAGTCCCACGACGGAGGGATCCAGTCCAAACCGTCCGGCGGCAGCGTGAACGGAGAGAGAAGAGACGAGCAGCTGATCCAAGACATCAAACGCACCCTGAGCAGAGACAGACTGAGCTCGTTCTCCGTGGATGAGACGCTGTTTGGTAGCAGTTCACATCCTTTGCTGAGCGCAGCGAGGACGGAGAGTTGACACTAGAGTGGCTGGCACTAAGGTACAGTGACTCTATAAAAAAAAAATCGTAAAAGTTAAACAAATATTTTTTTAGACTTCCAGAGATATAAAAGACAACCGAGATGCATTTAGAAAATTAGATGGCACCAGATATTTAGGTTTTATTGTCATTTTCAGACATTTCACATGAAGAACGCAGCAGCAGATTGTTCGGGTAAGACACATTCACAACAACAGGAAAATGTGTCTGGGTAGAGAATACAGGAGGCAGGACATGATCTATGAATTCTGCTGGGGGAGTCACGTTTTAGTTTGCAGCACATTGACACTGATGTCGGCCGTTACCACCCAAAGCTCTCGAATCTCGTCTTTCTAAGTTGACAACTTGTGTCTTCTACATATATGGGACCGCTTTTCCATCCTGAGAAGTTTTATTCATCCAGTTTTGTGTCTGTTGCATGTTAGAAAAATCGTCAATGCCTAAATTTTTGGGGAATTTTCTGGACATTTTCCTGCTGCATTCTCACAGAAGCTCACTCAGACATTTTACTGTGGGACTGGCAGGAAAAGTTCCAGAAAATCTCCAGAGCAACCGAAAATGCAGTTCTTCAGTTCAGGTCTGAAAGCGGCTTATGTCTGATGATGTAACAACGATAGGTCAAAGTGAATTCCAGATGACTTTAGTCGTCAAGTGTCTTGTAGCTTCTGTGTTCACGTTACTTCTCAGTCTTCATCCTTCACTCACCACAAGAAGTAGCTGCATAATGAGTTTTGACCGCCGTATAAAAATCTTGACAATAGAACACGGCTTCCTATTGTCGGTAACAAAGAGGCGTAGGTTTTTTGTGAGCTATCAAGTACAGCTGCGATCGCCTATTACCTGTAAACAGATCCGCCTCCACTCACGCTCACAAATGACTGAATTATTCATGGTTGTTGGGACTCCCAGTTGAGTTGGCCCCTGAGACACACTTAGTGTTTCCACCAACCGGGCACATGCACAACTTTAAAGTGCTTCAGCTGTGATCAGAGATGTTTCGGTGCTCTGTGTCTGTCACTGACACATTCAGTCAGAGCTTTAACAATTATCTGTTGCAGTGTCTAGCAAGGGTTTCTGCAGGTTTCAACAAGTTTAACCGAAGATTCTTTAAAACTGTTATGAACAAAGATGTATCACGTACGACAGATATGAATATATGAATAAAAGGAGTCCAAGAATTACCTCATAAATGAAGACGAAGTGATGAAGCATTTCTATTTGGATTTGCTCTAAAATTGCACACTGTTAAATATCAGTCCCCTAAACAGGATTGATTCATCAAGATGAATTACTCAAAAATATTGAAAAAACGCCATTTATTTAAAAAATCCCTGCCTCTGACTCTTGATCTGGATCCACACCAAAACTTTACGGTTTCTTCCTTGGGTCATGTCCCACTCCCCCACAACATTTCATGGAAATCAGTTGAGTAGTTTTTGTGTAATCCTGCTAAATAAAGCTGTCCTGCAGAGAACCTCCAGAGAATTGATTCCGGACTTTCCCGCAGTTTTCCTTTCAAACATACACAACACAGTGGGAGATTCTCTGCTCAGATACGTTCACAACAACATCAAATTCTTTGCAGGATTTAGGTGAGAGGTGGTGCATCGACACAAACTCTCAACATCTTCGTCAGTGTCTTCTACATAGATGGCACCACTTTTTCATGGTGTCGCATGTTAGAAGCACCATCAACCAGCCAGGGATCCCTTGTTGTGTGCTCACCTCTGTCATTATTGCTGCTAACTCTGTTTCAAAGAACTGCACTTCAGATTTATTTATACTGCCTGGTCGCATGATGTAAGTGTGTTTGTGAGGCTTCATCCTTTCTTTTGATATGTCACTGACTGACTGCTTGTGTGATTTGGCCGTTCAGAAAATAAAAATGAGAAATTAGACAGAGAGTGACCTGTTTTTTTTTTCCTCAAAAAATTAAATCCTGTGCACATTAAAAGTTGAGATCATTGGAACCATTCAGTGGTTTTCAAAGACTGTATTTCACATTTATTCAAACCTTGTAATCAAAAAGAAGATTATTTATATTATTATCATACAGGATCTAGAAGCCTGAACTCAATATAAAAAAAGTAAAACTAATAAAAATGTGCTGTAAACTCACCAACAAACTATCCTTGTAGAGTACATTATCAAATACAGTTAGGTCTGCAGCATGGACTACCCCTGCCTTCTACTTATACAATTTTACTTGAAGTAAATTCTCAGACATATTGATGGTCTAAATCAATAAGGCCATAACAAAGAGCGCTGGGTGTCAGTTACTGTCCTCGAAGCTGCCGCTGCTGCTGTGGGACGAGCAGAATCTCATGGTGCTCATGGGGTCGGACACATACCCTGAAAAACAGACAAGTCCACTGTTAATGTACAGTTACATTTGTGAATAACAAGGTTGGCAAAAACAAAATTAGAACTATTTACATTGTAGAGTTAAAGCTGGTGACCTTACCGTCAACAAATCTCATGACCTTGAAAAAACATCAATTTATAATATTTATAATAAAGAAAAGGATCATGTGTATTATTTTTATTGTTCAAAATATTTAAATGCATCAGTTAGCCTCACTAAATATAAAAACATGTATATTTAATATTATTTAACAATAACACTAGTTAGAAATAAAGGAGAACCATATTTTAGGAGAGGTTTTTAAAAGCAAGTCTTAATTTGCTTGCATATCCTTATTTGAATCTGAATTTATTCAGGGTTATAAAAACTATTACTGTCACTACACGCTATAGTACATGTACATATAGTACTACACACACACCATTTCGATCAATGGGAGGAAACTGCATATTCCGTCTTAGCTCCTCCAGTGACAGGCCTCCAGACGCTCGCCGTTGCTCACTAAAAATAAAATAAATAGAAATCAACCCCAGCTCCGACACTCTACATTTATATATACCGCTTTGTTTACAAGGAGGAAGACAGGAGAGCTGGATACAAGCAGGTGAAATTCAATATCTAATGTCCGGTCTACCCACACCAGTTCCAGGCTGCTCTCACTTTCCCTGCAGGAGTGCTGTGTACGACATTCATAGCAGCTTTGACAGCGTGAAGATTGTGATGAAGATTTTTATGTGGTTGAATTAGCAATTGTGCTACAAGTCGAGTACAAGAACCAGGAGAGGCCTGAAGATTTAACCTTTAATGAAGCGCCAGGAAATTACTGACACAGCCACAACACAATAAGCACACCTCCTGTTACAGAGCGACTGTAACTAGGCTCCGAGTCCACACACACACACACACACACACACACACACACACACACACACACACACACACAGAGCTCAAAGCCAGGCGTCCAATATAAGCCTTCCTCCTCGCTCAGAATGCCATGCATGTTTTATTGCAGTTGCTTTCCTTTGTTTCCTGTTTGGTATCTGAGCAACTCCTCCTCACTGGGACAGTAACTGGTCTGCATGATGTTGTTTCTACAAGCCCAGACATGATGTTTGTGGAATTCAGGTCAGAAAAGTTTGAATCCAGACACGTTTCATTGAATCTCACCTGTTTAAAAAGAACATCAGATTTATAGGTTCAACCTTTTTCATCTGATTTGAATACTTTTATACCATAACTATAAAAACATATCTATATCTATGATAAAATGACAGAAGACAAGCCATTGGAAGTGTCTGCTCTGTAACTGCTCGTGATAGCTGCAGTTTCTAGGATCAGAGGACGTTTAGGCTTGAAAAACATGGTGTAAATAATTTTTAATGTTCTGGCTTACAGACACTTGGATGACACCACACGAGCAGTATGGAGGCATTTTTTAATGTTATTTTATTATGTTTGAAGAATCAGTTCCCAGTTTAATTGAATGGGATTTGCAACCCTGTTTAGCCCTGAGACTCCAAAAGTGTTGTGTGGACTCAAACACTTCACCCCTCCATCAGCATAGTGGTGAGTACTATGGAGACACGACTCAGCTCACTGGATGACACCACAGGGTCATGTAAGTGCTGTATGACATTAACTACAGTGGTTGTGTTTTATATGTATGTTGACTATAGATAACGAAATGAAGTCTTAATACTGTATGTGTGCATTTACTAAAGTGTCCTGATTAGTTAGAGCTGTTATTCAACTTTTTCAATTAAGAACATTTTATTTTAAGTTATTAAAACAGTGACTCAGCAGTACAGGATCGTAGCTTGGTTAAAACCTCACCCAGAGGTCACTGTGACCAGTAGCTGATTACTTGGTGCATGTGGACATTGTGCATGACTCTCATCTTATCAACCTTAACCAGTCTGAGGACGCTCTTCATTTCTCTTACCTCTGAGACCAGCAGGCATAGGCGCGGGTGTTGAGGGCGTACTCCAGCTCAAAACGAGAGCGAAGGGCGGCCACGTGGCCACGGCCTGGTCCTCCTCGCCCCAACAGACAGTCAGAGGAGGAGGAGGGAGACAGGGAGCCGCTACTGTTACTGGAGGCCGGAGACATCAACTGTGACATGAACACACACGCACAGAGGTGGAGAATGTAATTGTTAAAGCATGTATGTTGCGTGTGTGGGGCTGACATTTAAGAATTAGTGTGATACTATTTACCTCAACGTTGCACAAGCATTCCTCCAGGCTGGAGACCACTTCAGGGAACTCAGGCCTGTCCTGAAGCAGAAAATGTTTATTATTACTATTTTATTGATTTTTGTCACATGAAATTGTTTTATATAAGTACCATCAGCAATGATTCTCGCACATGCAACAGCAACAAGAATTCAAAACCATGTGTATATCACCATTGCCATTAAAAGAAGCCAAAAAACACACCGACTCCCCCAAAAAATAGACAAACACCATAACAGAAGAACATTTTCAATGTGAAAAAGATGGGCATACATTTTCTCACTTTAGTGAACTGTCAACTGTGAAAGTCATATTCACAAATTCAAAAATGTAAAAGTGAAGGCAAACAACAGGAAACAAAAGCACAGCAATAAAGCACTGATACAGAAATAATTATCACAGATTACAGATGAGAAAAGAGATAAAACATAATTAAATAACACATTATAGAATTATTAAAAAAGGCAGCAAAATAAGGCCAAACAAAAGAATCTGCAGGTTATGAATTACAGCCAATGATTATTCTATAAAGGCCATATCTCTAAAATAATTCGACAAAAGCTCAGGAGAAAACTGTCAGTGAGTTCCGGCAAACCGGGTCATTTGTTTGTATAATCAGATGAAAGAGGTATGACCCAAATCAGACACACACACACAAACACACACAGGTGTATTCTCACTTCCGTGTGTATTCTGCTTGTTCGAGTCCACCCACACATGAA